GGGTGAAAGGGGGGAAGGGAGGACGGGGGGGAGGGAAGAGAAGAGGGGGAGGGGGGGGACAGGAGGGAAGGGAGAGCAGCCATCGAGCTTCCCCACACAGCCCTCACCTCCAGAGATGAGAGCTGTCGGGGTGTGCACCACAGCTCGCACGTCGTGGGTGTGATGTTGGAATGGCTTCGTCTTCACCCAGCGCTTCTCCTGGCCGCCTGCCTTCACTGGCAGCAGTTGGAACTGGTAAGTGGCCCCCGCCGAGGTGCCCACCACAATGCTGTCCTCTTCCTGGGAGAAAGAGAGGGCTGTTGATCACAGGGCACAGCGATGGATACCACCTGGGTGCTGGCACTGCTGTCCCGGCCCAGGGTGACCTCACCTCTGACACAGCCAGCGAGAGTGCAGCTGAGGTGCTGACAGTGTGGGAGTCCTGCAGAGTCCCTCGCTCCCAGTCCCAAAACTGCACTCTCCCAAATGAATCTGAGCTGACGACGGTGCCACTCGACAGGAAGGCGATGCTCCACACGACGCACTCGCGCTTCTTGGACTTTGGCACATGATAGTTCACCATGATCCTCTGGGCTGTTCGGCCTGAGGTAGGGAAGGGTTGTTCAAGATGGGGAGAGAGTGGGATGACCTCAGGCTCCTCACTTTGTCCTTTCCCTGCGTCCTGTGCGCTGCAGGACTCCCAGGCTGGGAGCTGTGGCAGTGCCACGGAGACATCCCAAAGCATAGACTTGTGGCTGCTGATGGTGCCCCAGGACAGGGGACACCGCAGGCTGACACCTGAAGGCTGCTCCAAGGAGCGATGCCCCTCTCTGGGGCAGTTCATTACCTGAGCGGACATCCAGCACACGGATGAAGTTGATGGAGCCAGCTGCCAGGTGGGTCCCCGAGGGATGCCAGGAGAGGCACAGCACACGTCCTGTAGAGATGGAAGCTCCAGGTGTGCTCCAGGGCACAGCAGCCTTTCGGTGACCAGAATGGCATGAGGAGTAGACAAGGGGATGGCCCTGCAGAGCCCCCCACACTCACCTTTCTGCCGGTCCAGGTTCTTCTCAAACTGAACACCCCCAGGCACTACCTGGAAGAGCTTCACCGAGCCATCCTCACAGCCAATCTAGGGATTGGGGGGTGTAAGGATCAGCTCCTGGGGGTGGCAGCTCCTCTGCCATTGTGAGCCCCATCCCTGCTGCTCACCGCCAGCCGTGTGCCATCGTTGTTGGCAGCCATGCTCCAGATGGGTCCCCCGAAGCCATCGACAGCGCGGGCCGGGTGCAGCCGCTCCAGGTCATACTCAGTGATGTCCCCACTCAGGCCTGCCCCAAAGAGCCGCTCCCCTGCTGCCCAGCACAGCGCTTCCACTGAGCGTGCCTGGTGCCCGGGGATGGCCTAGGGAAGCAGGCCCCATCACCACGGCTCTGTTCCACCCGTATCCCCACCGCCCCCAACCCCGTGGCCCCTGGTTCCCTGCTGCTTCTCCCCTGTCATCCCACACCCCGGTTCCTCCCGAGTTCCTGTTAACACCCCAGCCGTGCTCTTCTCAATAACCCCCGGTTCCACACTGTCACATGACTAGGTTTCCCCGCCGGTCCTCCACCATCAGCCTCCACTCACCATCCCCACCATTCACCCCCGGTTTCCCATCTATCACCCTGCCCAGTCCTCCCCTTCGTTACCCTCAGCCCCCAGCCCAGTTCTCCCCGCTCTCCCTCCGTCTCCCTTCCATCACCCAGCCCCGCTCCCACCTCCTGCCTTCCCACACAGACTCCCCACCACCACCACCACCCGGCCTGGTCCTCCCCGTTCTCCCCGCATTCCCCGCCCACCTTCTCCATGTAGTAATTAGAGGCGAAGTTGTACACCTCAACGGCGCCGTCGGTGCGGGCGAGCGCCAGGCGGCAGCCGCGGTGCCGGTAGGCCATGCAGCGCACGCCGGCGGGCACCAGCTCGAAGAACCGGACGCGGTGCACCTCAAACTCCCCCATCGCGGCTCCCGGCCCCGCTCCGCTCCGCCCTGCCGGGCCCCACGTGCGGCGCCGCGCTCCCGGAAGCGGAAGTGATCCCCAGTACCTGGAAGCGGAAGGGCAGAGCAAAACGGCGGGAGATTCGGGTGTGCCGGGCGGTGGGAGCGGAGCCGGGGGTGCGGAGCGAGGCGGGCGGCACCCAGCCGGGACGGAACAGCGGGGCGGGCAAAGGGCTGCGCGCACGGGGGGGCACGGAAGGTGCTGGGGGTGTGAATGGGACACGGGACTCCAGGAGGCACGGGGGGGGCGGTGCGATTTTGGGGTACAGGGCTCTGGGCGTAGAGGATTCGGTGGGGTGTGGGCATGGGGAGGAATTTAGAGCATGGGGAGGGCATCAAGACATAGGGAGCAGCTGCATATGATGGGAGGTATGGTGCTCGGGGCGCTGCGGGTTTGGTGGGGTGTGGGGTTATGGGGGGCAAAGCAAGGCACAGGGGGCAGCTGAATATAGTGGGGCTTTGAATGGAGTTGGTATGGGAACGTTGGCTTAGTAGATTCATTGGGACATAGGAAAGGATCATGGCACAGGGGATGTGGGATGGTTCAGGGTATGGGTTTGAGGAGATGGGGGTCCCAGTATCACGCAGCAGCCTGAGGGCTCTTCCCATCCCATCCCCTTGCAGAGACAGCAGCTCTGCAGAGCCCACATTATGGTGCAGCTCATCATCTCCAGGTGAGTGAGGGCCTGGGCCTGCCACGCTCGGGTGCCCTGTGCCCGGTGGGCGACACCACTCCTCTCCCTGGCAGTGCTGGTGCAGGCAGCCTGGAGCGCTGGGTGCTGGTGGAGCTGCAGGGAGAGGTGGAGCCGCGTGGTGGCGGTGCGCTGCCTGGGAGTCTGCTGGGAGACCTGCACTACACACGGGAGGTGAGCAGCGCTCTGTGAGCCCTGGCTGTGGGGTGGCGATGCTCACAGGGCCGTCCTCACCCCACTTCTCCCACGCAGGGCATCCCCGTGCTCATCGTGGGTCACCACATCCTCTATGGGAAGGTGGTGCAGCTGGAGAAGCCCTTTGCTGTCCTGATGAAGCAGGCAGCCGACCCTGCAGGGACGCGCTACGCTGTTACCGCCCTCATCAAGACCAAGCTGCTCTTCAAAACGCGGCCCAAGCCCATCATCACCAACGTGCCCAAGAAGGTGTGAGGACACAGACCTGCTGCCACGGGAGCAATGCTTTTCCTTTGTGACGCTGCCGAGGACAGCTGGGGCATGAACGCAGCGCCCACCTTAGGCAAGGGGCATCCTGCAGGGCCAGGCTGTGCCCCTAATGGGGGCTGCACATGACATGCCACCAGCACTGCCTCAAGCACCAGAACTCAGCTCTGCAGCCATGCACATCGTGCTGCCAGCTCTGCCCATCCTCCTGCCTGTGCCAGGTATGGCTTGGGCACACTCTCAAGCTGGCTGCCTCCTCATGTTCCCTTCTAAAGTCACTCCTGCAGCCAGCAGAGCTGCAGACAGGGTCTATCACTTCTGTTTTAGCACCTTCCCCCCTCGAGTCTCCCCAGACTGGGAGCCCACGTGGAGTTGGGCAGGGAGAGCAGGGATGACACACCATGTTTTCTCTGTGCAAGTCTTTATTGTGTCAAATCCACCAGGATATAAAAAACAGACCTCTCAAAATATGAAAAAAATAGGAGTTAAAAAATAAATAGATTTACAAACAATCAGCAATAAAGTGTAAATACGAAAAGAGCTACAAAAGTCTCCTAAAAAATCCCATCTTAAATAAAAAGCCTGACTTGTACAAAGGTTTTAGCCCTGAAAAGAGGGCCCAGGGGAGATGGCCGTGGGTAAATACCCAGGGGGACACAGTGGGCAGGGAAAGGCTGGGAACTGGCTCTCCCCGCCCTCCTCTGCATGCCCAGACCTAAAACCCAGCGCCTCCCCGCTGTCTAGACGGATGCCAGGTTCCCTCCTCGCTTCCAGAGCTAGGGGGCAGAGGAGGGGCGGTGGAGAAAGCAGCTGGCAGGAAGCCGGGACGTGGTTGGCTTCTTTATGGTGCCGTGGGCTGGCCGGACCATCAGCAACCCGTGCTCCAGCTGACCCACGGCCCGGGTTTTTCTGCTTCTGCCCAGGCTGCGGGCACAAAAATGGGGTGCCAGTGCCCCCTCCACATGCTCTTTGGCAAAGCACAACAGAGGAGCTGCCCTCCTGGGGCAGCCAGATCCCCAGAATGGAGTTGGAGGGAGCTGTGGGTACATGCCCGCACATACACAGCCATGGGGATGGGGGTGGGTGGCTTTTGGGGACATTCAGAGCTCCATGGAGACAGAGCAGGGGATGCTGAGCCCCCGTGGGTGGGCCCAGCTGGCAGCACCAGCCAGCGGTGCCTGGCATTGGCACAGCACCTGAGCGACATGGTGCCAACGTTGGGATGAAATCCGATTTCTGTCCCTAAATCATGGCAGAGAGGGGGCTGAGCCTGCAGCCGGCTCCCGCCCATGCAGGGGCTGCACAGGGATGGTGGGGAAAAAATCCTGGGGCGCAGCAGCTCCAGCAGCATTGAGCATCACAGCTCAGCACCTGGCTGGACACGTGGGGTCCATCCTCCACAGTGCCACGGGGGGGACATCGGGGGTCCCAGGAAAGCACCAAAGGATGGGGCCCAGCAGGGCAGGGGGAGCCCAACCAGCGGAGCTCCCGCTGTGCCCTCGCACCAAGGCAGCGAAATGCTCAGCGTGGCACAAGGAAGGACCCTGCAGCACCAAGGCTGTGCCAAGCACAGTTCCAGACAGCCCCGGCGCGGCCGCTAGCACCCTCGGGGCTGAGTTTTACAGAAAACAACAACAACAAAAAATTAAAAATAATTAAAAAGGAAAAAAAGAAAACAACCGCAATTAAAAAAAAAAAAAAAAAAAAAAAAGCAAGACTTGATCACAAATGCTGACCTTGGGGTGCGCTCAGCGCTGCCGCACGCAGGGAGCAGCAGCCGGGTGGCCACCGGTGGGTCAGCGCCAACCGCGAGGGGACCCACGGCGTCCTCACACCTCAGCAAAGACCAACCCGCACTGCTCCTGCCGCTTCCCGCAGCGCCGCGCCACCATGGCCAAGTAGAGCGTCAGCAGGGCCACCCAGTAGCAGGCGTAGAGGACGGCACCCGAGACGAGGAAGGCAACCTCGGTGTCGCTGAGCAGGTCCTGGCTGTAGGCTGTGTAGGCCAGGCCGCCCAGCAGCACGGCCGCCCACACCGACACCGGCAGCAGCCCCACAAAGTTGACCACGATGGTGCGGCGGCCCGACGTGCCCCAGCCCGACTTGTTGATGGTGGCGATGGCAAACATCTTGGCGGGCAGCAGGCTGGACATGTAGAGCAGGGCGTAGAGGGAGACGAAGATCATCTCAGCGCTGCCACGCAGGAAGCAGGCGTAGGTGGCCTTGATGATGCCCACCAGCTGCACCGTCAGCAGGAAGAGGAGGATGTTCCAGATGCGCCCGCGGTAGAAGAGCTGGATGACGGTGGCGATGAGGAAGAAGGGGAAGAAGCCGGTCACCACCGACTCGTAGGTCATCCAGAGGTGGTGCTTGTGGAACCACAGCGCGTTGTAGAGCCACTCACGGAAGTAGGACTTGCTCCAGCGGGTCTGTTGGTTGAGCCAGCGCAGGTAGCGTGTCGGCGTCTCCGTCAGGCAGCGGGAGCGTGCCGTGTACTTGGTCTGGTAGCCCAGGCTGAGCACGCGGTTGGTGAGATGCCGGTCGTCCCCAAAGCTGCACTTGGTGCCCAGGAAGGTCTGGTGGTACCAGTCCTCCAGGAACTGCTGCAGCAGCGCGTTGCGGTACATGCCCAGTGGGCCGCTGATGCACTGCACGCAGCCGAAGTAGGACTGGCAGGCACGCTCCACATTGAAGGCCATCCAGTACCGCACGCTGCTCAGGAAGGAGATCCACGAGTCGTACTTGTTCAGGATCTGCAGAGGAGACGGGGTCAGTGCCACCAATGCAAGAGCGGCGCCCCGTGCGCCCCCTCTCTGTCCCACCACCGTACCTGGACATCGCCACCGACGCCACCGACACGGGGGTCGGCCTCCAGGATGCGGAGCATCTCGGCGGTGCAGGCGGGGTCCAGCACCGTGTCTGAGTCACACACCTGGGGGCAGAGGCAACGTCGAGCCCCGCTCCGCCGCCCACACGCACCCGGCAGACGGCCCAGCCCCAGCCGGGCAAGCCTGAGCCACGGCCGGCGAGACGAGGCAGAGCCCGCAGAGCAGCGGGCGGTGAGGGGAGCGGAGCGCTCCATGGTGCCGGACACCGCTGCCCCAGGACACCCAGTTCTGGTCAATGGCATCGCGGTGGGACACACCGGCTGACCCCAACCCACGCATGGGGGTCCGGGCCCCATGCGGTGCTGCACGGTGTCCCCCGGGTGACACCGGCACGCAGCGGGGGATGCACCAAGGAAGCGACACTGAGCTCTCCCACGCGGCGCCGCACCCCGTGAGTCCCCAGATCACCCCGCGGGCCCCCCCCCCCACCCGCCTGGACCCCACATCCACCTGGATGTAGTCCACGGAGTCTCCGAGCGCCCGGAAGGCCGTGTACATCACCTCGCGCTTCCCGCCCCACTTCTGCAGGATGCAGGAGTACGTGGTGCCGCGCACCAGAGCCTGCACGTGGGCCAGTCCTTCCTGCAGCCCAGCCTCTGTTTCGCCCTCGCCCCGTGCATGGAAGTTACTCCTCCAGACGTAGCTGCCCACGCGCTCGGAGCCCATCACATCGTGGAAGATGTCCAGCATGTAGGTGTCATCCGGGCCGTTGCCGTCCACCACCATCACCACTTTGAGGTCGGGGAAGGCGATGCGCTTGACAGAGTGCAGGCACTTCTTCAGGTAATCGGGATCCTCCTGGTAGGCGGCGATGCAGAGGGCCACGGAGCGGCCCAACCGCACCGGCTGTCCCTCAGCCCTCATGCGTCGGTGCTCCAGGAAAGCAAAAAGGCTCTGGATGAAGAGGTGCAGCCCCAGGATGGCCCCGTAGAGCCCAAAGGAGAGGTAATGCTTCTCCGTGTGGATGAACTGGTACCCGGTGACATAGGCGGCCAGGATGCCCCCCAGCACCGCCAGCGCGAAGAGGCTGGTCCCGACGACACGCAGCGCCGTGGAGAGGCTCACTGGCATCTGGGTGGGATGGGACAGTCAGGGCACGGCCACCACCCAGGGGGCAGCGCGATGCAGGCACAGTGACCGGGTGGTCTCCCAGCCCACGTGAACCTCATCCCCACGCAGACATCGCTTTTGGGATTTCCCCACCCGCAGCCCTGTGGGGCTGGGCTGGAGGACAGGGAAGGGCACGGGAACAACGGGCAGCGGGCTGACCCCGGGGGGCAGGGGCAGCCCCGGGACCCCTGGTCCCCGTACTGCGGGACCCGGCTCGGCCCCTCCCTGGTCCTCGACCCCAACTGCGGGACGGGGACTGCGCCGCGGGGCCGGGGGAGCCCGGGGCTGAGGGAGGGGGCGGGGGCGGGAAGCGCTTCCCCGGGGGCTCCGCAGCGCCCCGCCGCTCCCGGTCCTCCCCCGGCCCGCGGCCCCCGGTGCCGCTCCGCGCTGTGGGGGGGCCGCGGGCGGTCCTGCAGAGCCGCGGGGGCGGAGGAGCCCGGGGCTGGCACCGGCGGGGCTGGGGGGGGGGGAGGAAGGAGGAGGGGAGGGACCGTACCGGGACTCACCGTGCTGCTACCGGTGCGGGTACCGGTGCCGGTGGTGCCGCTCGCCCCGGCCGCCGCCGCCGCCGCTGTGCGCCCGGCCCGGCCCGCGCGGCCGCTTTATACCGCGGCGGGGCCGGCACCGCCCGCAGCCCGCGGGGTCTCCGCCCGGCACCGGGACCGGCACCCCCGGCACCAGCACCCCCGGCACCACCCCCGGCCCCGCCCGCAGCCCCCGGGACCCGCCCGGCACCGGCCCCGCACTGCGGGATGCACCGGGCGCCGGGTCCGTCCCCACCCGTCAGCCGGGGACAGCTGGGAAACCCGGGGACACGGATCTACCAGCCCCGTGCCATCCTCCAGGACCCTCCCCACCTCCCCGCGTCCCCTCCGTAGCCATCAGCCACCGCCTCCCGGGGACACACGGGGACACCTCGTGGCTGTCATTCTGTCCCTGTGCCCCCTCAAGAACGGGAGACCTGCGCCCATCACACGCGATGTCCCCGTGCCAGGCTGACGGCAAGGCACCGCCAGCCCCGGAATGGACCCCGCCGAGCCGCAGCCTTTCCTCTTTGGGCTCAGATCCCGCACTTTTGGGTTCCTCCCCGGCTGGGTGCAGGGCTCGGTGCCGCCCTCCAAGGGGACACTCCCTGGGCGGACCCCGGGGGTCCCCCGCGCACGGTGGGACGAACTGGGACCCCCGCACTGCTGTCGGGCTCCCACGTGGCGCCAAACGTTCGCATCTGTGTCCCTGCTGCTGGGGCACGGGGTGTCCCGGCACTGCAGGGAAGGGACGGGGACAGGAGGGTGCACACCGCGCCCCGCTGCAGGTGCCCAGCGCTGGGGTTACGCTGCGGCCCCGTTACCTTTCAGTGTGATCGCAGCTCCCGGGTGCTCTCCCCGCACGAGTGCTTCCCAAGGTATAAATAAAATTTCCTCCTCCTCCGGCACAGAAATCTCCTTGTTCGCAGCGGCAGAATTGCAGTCAGACGCCCAGGGAGCTGCATTAATACAGACTTCTCATTCAAACCCTTCCTCTGGCCGTCTGCTCCAGGCCCTGGCAAAGCACAGCCGGTACGGCTGCATCCCGGCGTGCGCCCGCAGCCCAACGCCGGCAGCGGCTGGCGGCGGTGACAGCGCAGAGGAGCGCCGGTCCGCCAACGAGGACAATGCGCTCCTGGCCACACACACACACAGCACGGCACGGCACAGCACGGCGCTGGTGGCTTTGCTGGGGGTGGGGATGCAGCCCGGTACCCCAACCTTGTGGGGCTGTGGTGCAGCAGCACTGTGCAGCCCTGGCTGGGGGTGGCTGAACACTGGTTTGCCACAGGGTGCCGGAGCCCCGGGTACCCTGCTGTGATCCTGCAGCCCCCTGCCCTGTTCACCCACTCTGCTCAGGATGCGCAGTGATGCCGCAGGGTTGGGATGTCCCCCTTGCTGGGATACCCCTGGGGGCTGCCCTGAAAGAGGGAGAGGGATGACCCCAGTGCTAGAATGCCCCCAAACAGTGGTTTACTGTGAGGGCCTGCAGCCCCCTGAGCACAGAGGAGCTCCGGTGCAGGTCCACAGCGCTGTCAAATAGGCAGAAGGGCTCCAGTGCTGGTGGGGTACAGGAGGTTGGCAATACCATCTCCATTTCCTTATTTTCTCCTGGGAAAATCACTCAAATACGGATAAAATTACATTTTGAATCTGATTTGGCTGCTGCTTCCAGACATATTTTCCCTTGGCCCATAAATGCCTCTTGATGCCCACAGGAACCCCAGGGACTTAAGGGCTGAACACCCCTGGCCATTCCAGGGTCCTGACACCCCAAATCCCCCAGTACCCAGGGGCTCTCCATGTGTCTCACAGCTCAGATGGCACCAGGGCACTGTGTGGCTCCCAGAAACAGACAACACACAGCAGAGGATTTCTCCTTTTAATCTCACCCCCCCACGCTGCCCCGGACAAGGGGCACTGGAGATGCTACGTGCCCCCAGCACCGCTGTGGTTACACCATGGCTGACACCTGCTGAAGGCAGCCCGGGGGCACAGCAAACACGTCTCCTCCAGGGAGCAAATTGACACAGCACCGGAGCAGGAAAAGTGGCTTTCTGGCTCCCGGCACCCGCTATGGCAGCACCACGATTTTCTTTTCCAGCACCTGAGGAGGGAAGAGGACGCTCCTCACGGCCGTGTCCAGCTCCTCCAGTGCCAGCTGGGCGTGCAGCACGGCCGCACCGTCGGGCTCAGCTGCCACCACGTGCTTCAGCAGGCGGTACAGGTCCCGCAGCACGTCCTGCAGCACCTGGGGAGAGCGGGCAGCAGTCAGAACCCGCCGGGGCCTCCTCAGCACCCGGGGTGAGCCCCAAACACAGTGCGTGGCGTGTCCCGGCAGGTGCCCCATCCACCTGGCCAGCAGGGGGACGTGGCCCCGCCGCACTGCTGATTCACAGCCCTCCCCTCCCGTGACTCAGTTTCCCCACACGCAGGCAGCACTGCATGATCTCCCCAAGCCCCTAGATCCTTGCGAGGCTGCGGGACACGGGTGCAAGCTGGGCAGCCCTGGCAGCAAACCCTGTGGACACAGCAGTTGAGGACAGCCACCAGACTGCAGCACCAAGCCCTGGGAGGGAGCAGCACCCTCAGCCCCTCCATAGGATGAGGCCCCGTGAGCAGCCCCAGTGACAGCATGGGGCACAGAGTCACTGCCTGCACAGGGACACAGCAGGAAGCAGAGCTGCTGGGGATTCCAATTGGGAACCAGCTGCTTCCTTCCTAGGAACTGAGTCCCAACACACTCATTGCTGGGAAGGAGGGAGGAAGGCAACGATGACCTTAGGAAACCTGGTCCTTTCCAGGTCAAAGTATCCATCACCAGGGCTCCAAGGGCAACTTCCCAGAGCTTCTCAGGATATTGTTTGTCATCATGGCCCCTCTGCCCCAGGAAGGAGGATGATGTGCTGGTTACTCTTCAGTGGTTGAGCACAAGGACATGGACACTGGCACCAAGCACCCATAGGCAGCACCTGGGAGAGGTTCTGAGGCAGTTGGTTTGCTGAGACAAGCAGACGTGGGCTCAGGAGGAGCCATGAGTGGAAGATGAAGCAAATCAAGACTGTGACACAAAAACATCACTGCGCCACACGCCTGTGTCCTTACTGCCCCCAACTTGGGTCCTGCAATCGGAGGGGCTATCAGACTCCCCAACCCACTCGTGCCCCATGGTGGACTGGCAGAATAATGCACCAGGGATGGTGTGCCCCCAAATGGCTGCACGCTGATCTTGAGCTGCTCTTGCCTCTCCCAGTGTGCTCCTCTGCTCGCTCCTTCTACAGGGAGGGCAAGAATGGAGGGAATAGATGAGAAGGGCCGTTTTGGTGCAAAGAAACAGAAACAATTGCAATTAGGACTTAGAAGGGCTTTGCCCAACTGGGCTCTTCCTGACACTGGCTGTGCTGGTGCTGAGAGCACTGTTTATAAGAGGATGAGTTGGTGCACCCAGCCCAGCCCTCTCCAGGCTGTTCCCACCAGGAACATGGTACACGCTGCTGCTCACACCAGAATCAGCAATAACGCAGGCAGAGAGCCTGCAGCTGTTCAGGTAATTATAGCTCAGTTAATTTTCTCCTAACTCACTGCAGCTGCTCCACACACTGCTGCCAGGAAACTGGGAGGCACTGTGGAGCAGGAGGGGGCCCTCAGGGTGAGCACAGCCACCACCAGCACGGGGACATGTTGAGGTGGTGCTGGATGCAACAGCCCCTAAGAGTAGGGGGGCATCCCCAGCTTGAGGGGAACTGCCTGGAACAGAAAGTTCCCCCACATGCACACCCAGCCCCGTCCCTGCTGCCCTCCTCGTCACTGGGGTGGGGGACACTCCCGAGGGGCACCATGCAGTGGGAAGGGACCCACCTCAGTTGCCTTCTTGCTGAGCCCCCGCAGCAGCAGCACCACCACATGCACAGCTGCTCTCCGCACCTCCGCCTCAGGGTCCGTCTTGGCGATGGCCGTCAAACAGGAGGACACCTGTGAGGATGGCACAGGGAGATCAGCACAAGCACACAGGGTGACCTGGTGGGGACAATGTGTGGCTCTGGTACTCGGCTTGTGGCCCAAGTCTGGTGGATGGGGATGGAAAAACCCTCCCAGCACCTCCATCCTTCAGCAACACTGCTCTGGATGCACTGCAGATCTGTCGCTGGGCAGCAGCATCACACTAAGAATTGGGGCAGTTTGTTCGGGGCTGGGACAGGCTCTGCTTATGGTCAGTGGCAGCAGATCAAAGCAGTGGTGAGCCACACACTCAGGATGGGATTTCATCATCAGTAATGAAGCACAGAGACTTTTCCTGAGCCCAGAAGAGGATGCAGCCCTGCGTTCTTCTCCTTCCAGCTGCAGAGCTGCAGGCAAGCCGTCTGCCTCACTGCAACAGTGCAGAGCACTGAAACAGGGGGCTGGACTTCTGCAGTAAAAATCAAAACTGCTGCAAGTCCTGCAGAGCGTCTG